TGTGTGTGTGTGTGTGTGTGTGTGTGTTTGTGTGTGTCTCCCACCCAGCCATGGCAGCTGTCCAGCCCTGCCCTCCTTGACTGTCACAGTTCTTGTTAAACTGTCCTTTGCAGTCCTCTACCCTCTGTACATTCCTGAGATAGCTCTTGGGAGGCAGCTGTCCCCGTCACCCATCCTGGTTCTCTATGTAGACATTTGAGCTACCCCACAGGCCGTGCCCAGAGTGAAGCCCAAGGTCACACGCTGGTCATACACTGTGCCTCTCTATCCAGCCCTCCCTCCCTACACACCTCTGTCCTCCCTCCTTCCATCAAGGCCAGCATCGAGGGTCCCTGCCTGAGGCGTCAGCTCACAGACACTACTGTTACCCTCTGTGTCACCTCTATGGTGACATGGGTAGGGGTGTCTCTGCGCATGTTCCCGTGCTGGTTGACAGGACCCTAGGGTCTAACACTGATTCTCCCACAGCTCTGTGTACCACCTGGAACCTCCCCCTACCCTTTCGGGACCTCACTCTGGGGACCAGGGTCACATCATGCTCAGGCTGCTGGGGCTAGCTGGGTGACACTGCCTCAGTTTCTCCATCTGTGAGGATCGGCTGTTAAGCACTGGGGCAGCTGCTCTTAGCTGTCTCTGGGGCTCACATCCATCTCACTCTGAACCTCCAGTCTCTGCCAGTGATCAAACCTCCAGAAAGCCCAGAGTCTCTGGCCGGGATTGTCCCTTTTGAGGACAGTGTGATCCTGTCAGCAAGTCCAGATAGAGGAGGAAAACCAACATTTATGAAGCACCTGCTATATTCAGGGTGCTGACTGGGGCTTTATTCATGGAAAACAGTTTGTTCATAACCCACACCATCAGGGAGCAACCACAGCTCCCATTTTACTGGTGAGGAAACTGGGCACAGGCACATAAATGACTTCCACAGAGGAGCTGCAGGGATCACTAACAAGTCAGAACTCACATCCACACCCAAGACCACATCCCCAAATGTATAGGATTGTGAGGTCTGAGTCCTCTCCAGCTGTGTTTGCTTTATTTTTGCAGCCTACCTGGGAAAAGATGCTGGCTTTGATTCAGAGATCTTTAAACGTAAGTGGGCTGGGGGTGGGGGCGTGGTATCTGGGATCCCAATGGCCTTCTCAGAACAGTCATTATTGCCGGAAAAGGCTATCCATGAAAGTTGTCACAGGTGCAGATCTCCAAGTGGCATGCTGACTTCCATGGTTCCCTCCTCCTACCCCAGGACAGCTTTCCCTGCTGATGCAACTTTAAGAGCTGTGAATCCTGACCCAGAGGAATGGGGACAGCCCAGAAGAGCCCTTACTCCCATTCAGGCCCTGAGACAGGCCAGAGTTTCAGAAGACTCTGATCTCATGTTTCTGTCCCCACCCAGGATCTATGTTTGGCCCCAGCGTGGAGTTTACGTCGGTGCTGAAGCCAATCTTTGCCCGAGAGAAAGAACCCTTCTCCCTGACTTGCTTGTTCTCAGACGATGTGTTAGAAGCTGAACAGAGAATCCAGTGGTTCAGAGACGGTGAGGCCATGGCCTTCCAAAGCAGAGCCCCACCCCCTCCCAACCCAGGGACAACACCCCCCACAGGAGTCAGCCATGCCCCTCCCCCAGGCAGTGCCAGAGGAGTGATGGGCACAACCAGGTAGGGTCACGAGTTGTCTCTGTTTCTTTTCCTATTGCTACAACACCCTGACAACAGCAGCGTGAGGCAGAAAGGGTTAATCTCAGCTCACAGTTCAAGGGTGCAGTCTACCATGGCTGGAAGCCAAGACAGCAGGAGCGTGAAGCAGCTGGCTGGTCACATCCCATCCACAGCTAGGGAAGCAGAGTTCAGTGAGTGAGTGATGAACGCTAGCTGCTGCTCAGCACCCTTCTCCACTTAGACAGCCCAGGACCCAGTCAGGGAAAGGTGACACCCCCCACTGCCCCCACCTCCCACC